TAACTATAAAATACATTGTGTAGCTCTGAATATTTATAAGTGTGATATATCAGTGTAAATGTGTATTTTATTTTTTATTATGTCAGAATGTATTTTGTTTGTTTACTTTCAGTAAATTAGTAATTCTCTTAAATAATCTTTTGTTCTTGACTTTTCAATAGGTTCGCGGCCCCTTTGTAGAGTTCTCGCACCCCTTCAGAAACACTGATATAAACCATAATTTATTTATTACTTCTATCTACAATAAAAACATGCATTTGATGTTGTTGTTACTAATGTGACCTGATTCATCATAGCAAAGGACTAAGTAACGCCTGTCGTTTATCGTAGCTTTGAGTACCATACAAGGGACAGAACGATTTAGCTCGGTTTCACCCCAATATTTAAAAAAAACACCCTGGGGGTTCATGGGCTCCCACCTCTCTTCTCCTCCCACCAAACTCACGAGAGGACTTATGGCTGGCAACTATTTAAAGTACCCTCATGACGCGAAGGCACTATACAAAAACATCCATGTCTTCTCCGGGATTTGAACCCAGGCCCAACGGTACGGAAGTCAGGGTCGCTAAACACTATACCGGATGGGTGACACAATGCGACTTTAATATTATAAAATACACATATTACCATTATATGTATTATATTTTGTATACGACAATCCCAAGAAGTCACCATTATTTACTTAGCTTGCTTTTAATTTGGTATCTTTAAATCAATTAGTAAATAATTTTTGCTTCACTAATACATTTATAAGTATCATATATCTGTATGAATATGTATTTTATTTTTTATCATGTCAGAATGTATTTTGCTTTGCTTCCTTTCGGTAAATAAATAATTATTTTAAATGTTTTATTTTAGACTTTTCGATATGCTCGCCTCCACCCCTAGTTTCAGAAATGCCGGCTTAGGTCATAATTTTTTTCACATGCACGAGTCTTTTATTTTTTATTTCCGTTTCAGAAAAACTAAACAACACTGTTTATAGTATGGTAAGAAATTGCTGTGCAAACATTTTCGCTTTAATAGGGTTTTAAAAATCTTTAGTCGCCAAATCATGAAATGGTATATGCAATTAATTGCCAAATCTGGAAACAATAAAATGAATTAGTAGCCAAATCTCGAAATCCTTAGATTCCTTATTTTTGAGGATCCTGATCATGACAATGAATCAAAATCATGAAATTATTGTATTGTTATCGGCGCGTAACAAGTGTGCAAAATTTCGAAATAATCTGACCTTTTAAAGTGGGTAAAAATTGAGTTCAAAGATTCCGTTACATACAAGGGAAGCTTATAAAAGTGTGCTAAAGATTAACATATTTCACATTAATGCAGGAACTCTCTACCAAATTTAATAGGGCTCCAACCTATGAGAGATTTAAAATTTAATATCCATTTTTGCACTTTTCTTTCACTGCTAGGTTTGATGGTATTCAAGATGAAAAAAAAATGCAGATATTTTCAAAAATCGTTTTTCATTTTCTCACACAGCAAAATGTTAACTTTTACCCACCTGAAATCCAAATCAAAATTATTGTAAACAGCACCACCGTACTACATTGAAAAATACATATAAGAAATTCGTTTTGAATATTAAAAATTTATACTAAAAATCAATTTTTCAAATTTACACGATTTGGCTGTCAGATATTGTAGAAGATTTGAATCAACGGACGTTTGTGTGTGTGTGAACAAATGTTTTCTGTTATGAACAAATACAAGGTAAAAATGTCATTCAAAATTAACTGAATTAATTAACAATGTAATTTAAGTTTGTGCTTTGGTCTATTTTATTATATTATTTTTAAATTTCCACTATTTAGGCGTGTGCTTTAAAAATGTGCTCTTTGTGTGGAAGTTACTTAATAAGCCGGTAAGTAACATTTTTTCACCTTTTCATTTGTTCGAAAAGTTGGAAGTGATTCTCTTCCTAAAACGGTTTGCCACCCCTGTTGTTATAGAACGTTCGAGGATTGAGTCACCACTTTCTAAAGCCAATTGACCTGTTCGTGTGATAGCATTTAAATAAAAATTAGCTTGGACGAGATTTTAATGTTTCTAGAAAAGAACAGCCCGCAGTAATAAGAATAACCAGCAATGGGAACTATTTTATTGATTTTCCGCAACGAAAGTGTGCTATCAATCTTGGCCAACACTGAAATTTTTCAAAGCAACTAAAATCAAAGGACTGAGTCTATTTCACAGCAAATTATCACTCTTAATGATAAAGCAGATCCACACAGCCCTGCCGTGAAACCCATTATCACTATACTCGAATTCTCTCCCTCCATCACTCTGTGTGTGTGTGTGTGTGTGTGTGTGTTTGTGTGCGTTGTGTGTGTGTGTGTGTACAGATAAACAGATGGACAGATATACACTCTATCCCATAGGAAGTGATTCAGCAAAATGGAGTTATCCGATTAAGAATGAAATTGCATATGCACTTTTGTTACAACACAATATTTTGGAAAGATTTATTTTTGGTGGCCAATCACAGATTAGTTGGAGTTCTACTGCATTACACAGGAGTATCGGGATAAAAAAAATCATTATAAAGCCTTGTTGCACCCGGCACACTTTCTACTGTTTATCTTTATTATCTCCAATGCTTCCCAAGCCGGCATTATTCCCAAATATCTCTCCCTTCTCCTTACCAAAGCAGGTTTGCGCTATGATTAACAGGTGTCATATCGTGTCCCTGAACCGTTGTGATCTAAATCGCCTGTTGGAACAAGTAAGGCAAGCAAGCCCTCGGAAGGACATCGGCTAACTCTACCAGCTAATTAACTCTAACTCTTTCTCAGGCTATGATGTTATTTTGCCTCATTGAAGCATTCAATTCAGAAATAACTTTCTTTGTTGTTTTATAACACAAAACAATAAAATATTGCATTGCTTTTGAATAAATAAAATTTTCCCAAACAGATAGTTCTTTTTCTTTTAGACATTATTTTAGGGGAATATAAAATCGCAGAAAAGAGGCAGACATTTTGTTATTAACACAAATAACGTTAAGATGGTTCATTGATTTTTTTACATATTACTAAAGCAAGAATTATTCGTTTTTTTATTGAATGAGATTTAGAAGAAAATATTATATTCCTCAAATCAGATTATACATGAACAATGAGTTTTAATAGTGAGGGAAAATCCCTTATTCCAAATGTAAACTTAGAAAAATAAAGAATAAAGAATAGGAAAATAACTAACTGCTTCCAAAGTTTTATTGAATTGTGTGCTGTTTAACATTTATCTAAATTTGAATGAAAAAGTGCTTAATTTTTTCAATAATTTATCTCTTTATGGTCTTGAATATTGATACATTGAAAAAACATAATTTATTGATGAATATTATTATCTTTCAAAAGAACTCATAGAGCAGTTTTGACTTTTTTTTCTTCGAAATTGACTTTTGGAAGCTTAAAAATTATTTTAAAATGTATTATGATTCTCTTGGTATTAATTTTTAACCAGGTTTGCGTAAGAAAAAAAACTTTAAGTAATTTTAGGATAACTGCGTTACTCCCATATCATTATAAGGAAGAAAACTATCATCCTTGAAATGTTCCTTTGTAACAAATAGGGAATTCAAAAACAAGCCACTTAGAACTATTTGTATGTTTAAAGATGATGTTATTCTTATGATTGAAAATCAAATTGACTTCTAATTTCGTGTTTAAAAAATGTATCATTGCTAATAATAATCAAATAAATATAGTATTATTTGATTTTTTAAGATATAATATTAAAATTTTAATTACTCATTCATAAATATTTTCACACAGTCATTTATTCTAAACATTTAATTTAATTTACAAAATGATTTTTAAGTACATTATACGCATACAGTTAAATATTAAAAAGAACCATTTTTCTTATGGAACATACTTTACTCAATATGTGTGAATTACATTACTTAAAATATTTCTTCAAGAACTCTACAATTACTGTCCGAATTTAGTAAATAAAAAGAATCTAAAATAATTTGTTGTAATTCACAGCTATTATCCAACATATACGTAGGAAAAAATTCTTTTATTTGGCTACATAAGCAGCACAAAGGCTTTTCTGGGTATTAAATCTCCAACAATCCTTATCCAAAACTAGCCAAACATTTAGAAACTTCGCCCTCAAGGAGAAAAAAACAAATTCTCAGCAAACGATTTTATCGCTCGGCGGAAACAGTCCCATTTATCACAGCCTAACGAACACCCCCTCAGATGGAGGCAGCAAATTTGTATTCTGATGAATCAGTAGAAGCTCGTTAATAACAAATGCCAAACGAGAACTTGCAGTAGGGAATGTGAAGGGCATACTTTCCCTAAGCATAAAAAGACGAGAAAAGTCTCACTAGAATTGTAGATTAAATTCCTCTCCATTCCGCTCACATTTAAGTTAAATGGGAGAGAAGAGAGCAACACATCGCTGCAGACGGATTCGTTCTGACGTCTTTGAATCATTCTCATTCCAATGTTTGTTGCTGTCGTTCCTTTTTGGTAATCGACTGGAATGACCAATCGTCATTGGAGGAAATTCCGAGTATCTGAAAGATGTTTGATCAAAATGAATGGAGGATATTTGTAACAAAGTATTTCGAATGAAGTCTAGCTTATGTTGCAGAAGTCCTTCCTCGCGTTAATGTATTTTTTAGATACAAAGTAACAGTCAGACTTGCACTATAAATAAAAGAATATGTGAAAGAATGAATAACAAATAATATAAAAAATTATTTTTAAGTCAATTCCTACTTAGGTCAACAGAGAAAAATTTTATATTTTAGTTACTTTTTATTAAATAATTACAATTAATATAAATATGTATATACACATGACAGAATCACACTATTAAGAGGCAAAATAGAAAGCATTTTTCCATTTCCCATTCTATAAGGGATATTGAACTATTATTTTTGTTTGTTGCTATTTATTCATTCATTAAATTTAATTATTACAGTAAAATAGCACAGTTAAAAGAAATCACATTCTCAGAAAATAGGCTATCCCAGGTGGAATTCTAACCCACGAAGTTGGATTACAAGTCCAACGCACTATCCATTATGCTAAAGGGAACATGATTTTCCTTTCTTTATATGGTGTGTGTATGTGTTGGACTATTTATTCATATTAATTAAACAGAATTAATTAATTAATATTTGAAAACTGTATTAACATTAAGTGTCATCCACTACAAGTTTTAAAAAAAATACATTTGAACTTGAGTAATTGAATAAAAAGTGTTTTATCAAAAGATTGAAAATTTGAAAAAATATACATATAGGGAGAGTGTGAACTAATAGTAGGAATTGAAATGAGAATAAATTCTATAAATATGTCTTTATGGTTGGTTGGAATTGAATAATTATTTATTTCAACCATGAACTTTATAGGTAAGAATCTGTTGTTTTAATCTAAATTGTGCAACGTTAAAAAAAAGCATATTTTGTTATTTTTCTTCCCATCTAAAACTGTATATTTTTAATCAAAGTAATGCTAATTTTGCAATTTGTTCAAAAACACTCGTCAATAGAGAATGTATAATCATTGCTACATGCATTAGAATTCGAGATAAAAAAAACATTTTTCAAACATAAAATGTTCAAATTCTTTTGGTATTTGTTTAATTTAATTAATTTTTTTAAATATTTTCTGTGCATGAGATTATCAAAAATAATATTTTTAAAGATTTCATTGTAGCACTTTGAAATGGATGAATAATTTTTAAATAATTATAATCTCTTAGCACTTAATAATATATGTGGTGTGCAAAACCATTTTAGTACAATATTGTACCTTTTTATTTAACGTACTTTTTGATATTTGTAAGCACCCATTACAGGAAACAGGACTTTATGAATCAGAGCATCCGTGGTAACTTAGAGGTTAAAGTTGCACAACCATATGGGGGGATGTTCGAATCTTAGTCACTGAAGATTCGCATTGTAGAGGGCCTGATAAACTATAAATCTGCTGAGGCTCATTAATTGGCCCTTGAAGAGATCTAGAATTTTAGAGAATGAATGCATGTTTTTGAAACAAGTAATGGATTAAAATGTTTGATAAAAAGCATTACAGATCTTCACAGTAATTCTAATGCAGAAAATTCTCATTCATCCGGATTTCTTTCAACTGGATATCACTTAATCTGGAATACCATTAAAACTCCATAAGTATTACATGCAAATACAAAAGCTTACGTCATGTATTCTAAGATTTTTTTATCTAATACATATCATATAAGTATTGATTTGAATTCACCTTTGTGAGCAATTTTTTGTCCTTTTTTTTCTTATTTCAAAGCACATGTTCTTTTTACTGAGCAAAGTTTTTAACTGTGTACTTAGGACTTTCTTACAAATCGCTCTGGACTACCATTAATACAGACGACCAATTATTCCAATTAGTCGGGATTAATGAGGTTCTGATGTAAGAAATTGAAAAATACATTAAAAATTAAAATGGAGAAAGGTAGTGAACATACAGGTATTTATATATATATATATATATATATATATATATATATATATATATATATTCATGAATATAATTTTTATGATCTATACTTTTATTAATGTAATAATAAAACGTAAAAAAAAAATTCATTTCATCAAAAACATTTAGGTCAAATCAAAAATCGGTAAAATGTAAAGAATAAAATTAGAATTAACTTAATTGAAATTACATTTGGTATTCAAAATAGATATCAGTTTTTAGAAATTGCTGAGGATTTCAACTTCATATGATGCTCATTAATATTTCCTTATTTATCATTTTCAGACATCTTTCCGATTTTTGTTTTGAACTCCAGGAGTTTCGCTGAAACACTTATTGTTTAATTTTCGATACTAAAATTTAAATGTTTTTAATAAAAATATTTTTTACTAATAAATATTGATTATATATTGATTTTGTATAATATTTCCTTGTAATTAATGATAGAATAGACTATGTTTTTTTTACTTAAATAAGTATAGAATTAACAACAAAAAATATTTCAGCTGTCAAGCCTTTTGACTAATCATTTATTTCCATATTAACCCACCAAGCGTTCCACACGGAAAATTCCATCATTGTAAAGATGCTTCGAAAATACACCGCACGTATAAATTTGTCTTCAAGTATCATTCTCAAAAGCGGTTGAGCCGTACTTTTCTGAAATCCTTTCCCCCTTTAAAGGTTTAACATCTTGAAAGATAATTATGGACGGTGGAAACCACACAGCAGGACACTGATAGGAAGTTTTAATACTCGCAGGGAACCCCGTGTATTGACCCTGGAGCAATCGTAAAAAATCGGTGAAGAAATTCTTAAGACCCCAGGAAGTGTTTGTTTGTTAGCTTCTACTTTAAAAGTTTTGAAAAGTCCCAACGCATAAGTAAAATATGTTACAATTCCCTTTTGATTTCATATTAATTTGAAACTGTACCAAAAAAGTTGGGGCGTGTCAGGGCAATCTGCTATTTTATATAGTTAGACAAATTACCTTTTTAAGTATATTCTTTCGCTTCATTTTTCTTATCTAAACCAATGCTTTCAGTTTTTGAAACATGATCATTTCATTATAAGATGCCAAAAAAAAAATTAATGAAACACCAAACACTTTAAAATTTGAAACCTTTTAAACTTTCCAACCACTAAAAATGATTAAATTTAAACTTCATCAAATAATTTGAAACATTTTCTTACACTTTTATAAAAATAATAACGAAAGAAAAAACCTAATTAAGATCTATTAGTTTTTTTTAGATTTCAAAGTCCAAGTGCTCAGGGAAGTTTACGTACAGTGCCTTGTTATATATTGTTAAATTACCCCGAATTATATTTGAATTTTAAATGCTTGAACTTCAGTTTACATCAAAGACAACATGAATGAAGATTTTCCCACATTTTTTTATAACTTAAATGTTTGAATAAATGGTAATCAAAAATATACGGAAACATTTACAGTAGACATTTATGCATATAAATAAACATAAAAATCAATTTTAAATTCGAGCTATTGAAAAACATTCAAATTATTATTCTCAAATGTATATTTATGCAAAATACCTCAACATTTATATTTTTTAAAGGCTAAGTGAATAAGTAATTAAAATCTGAATATTTTTTTTGAAATATCGACAGTATAAAGCTAGAAATTTTATGTTAGAAATTCTATTTGAAATTTCGAAAAAAATGCATCGCGAAGTTAAAAATTATTTACCATAAGTTTTAGCAATTCTTTGAGTATAATATAAATTTCAAATTTCTAAACGTAGCTTTTTTAGTAATTTTTTATATATTTTGAAAATTTCATACAATTCGGTGGAAAACTGCATGTTAAAGCAAAAAATATACTAAAAAAATTGATGAATATACAATTACAATAAATTCTTACATAGAAGCAAAACTGAGAAGCTAAACCGTAGGAATGAAAAATTATGAATATATCTGAAGTAGTTTTCGAAATATTTATGTTAAAGTTCAGAAAATTTCTGTGCGCTATGTTATACTTAATATTAATTAAATGGTTAAAATAATATGTTAATAATAGTCATGTAATCGTTTGACGACGCATTCATATACTAATAAAAATTATAATGGTCATTGATGTGAATGTCAAAAATTTTATGTAACTTTAAATTCAGACACTGTGACAAATCTATACGGAACTTTATCACTAACCTTCTGAGTCGTCTTTTTTAGGGAAATTTAATTCCCTACCTATTAAATGAGGAAAGGATTCCTTGTTATATGTAGATTAGATAAAGTATTTAAGTCAAACGGAATAATAAAGTTAGAGTAGTAGGAGAGAGAGATTGAAGCAGAAAGTTATAGTGAAGTTAAATTTATAATTGAACATTTCTTCTTAAATAATTTAATCTCAGAGAAAAGCTGAGCTGAACTGCAGTGTGGTAAATATTAATTAAAGTCTCATTAAAGCTTATTATTACGAGTGATATTAAAATTAAATGTTCAATAAGAACATTAAATATAAATCTGGGATCTCTTATCGTGGTAATCTCTGCGTGATCGGTATTCTAACTGTTAATTAATTGGATCATTAAATATTTAAGTTAATTTAAAGGGCATTCCCTTTAAAACCTCGTAATACTATTTAGATATATTTGTTAATAAGTCTTTGATTCTATTTGGGAAAGAAAACCAAATAAAGAAAGTTACTTATAAAAATGGCTACTGGCTCTTATCTGACTCCTATTTATTCTCGTTCTCAAAGTGAGGTCCAAGGGGACCTTCACAACACTAAGATATTGATGTAGAAAATATAATACGGTCATCTAAAATACATGAAAAATGCAATCTGCTATAAAATGATCTTGACAAACAAAGTACGGCATTTTCTCTTACTATGGCAGAACCGGCTTAGTCAGGGGCGATCTGGGAAAACAGAGAGGGACCCGCGGTTTTGATAGATGCCGCTCTAGCTTTAAAAGTTCTGAGGAAAAAATATATATATAAATTACAAATGTAAAAATAAGTCTTGTAATTTTTTATACATTTTTATAACAACTATTTGTGGAATTGGCTTCCAATACATTGTTGTGTTTGAAAATATGTAAGGTAACCAACCCTACTTTAGATAGATTTGTACTACTTTTTCGTCACCGTATTCCTTTTAAAATTAATTCGTGCAGCCGAAATACACCTTTTGCACCCTTAAAAATTTACGTAAACTATAACGGTTAATTTTAATTTATGCAACTTGTGAAACATTCATAATTAACCATTTCCGTCTAAACAGTTTACATGAAAAAAAAAGTTTGGACTCCCTCATTCATTAGGGAATTATATAAGATTCCAACATTAAGTTTTATTTTTCACCGAATAGGGTCGAATGATAGTGTATCGTGCTTCCACACCACAGGTCTTGGGTTCTATAAACGGGCTGGGCAAGTTCGACTCTGCCTTTCATCCCCGCTACATTAGGTCGATAAACGAGTACCAAGCGTGTCTTAAACACTGAAGGTCTCGTTCAGACAGACCACCAAATCGGGACATCTATTTATGCACCTCAGCGCCCAATGGTCACGTATATTGGGATGGGCATAGTAGTTCCTGGCCCTCATGGATTG